TATTCATAAAGAAATGTACGAGAGATTTTTTATTTTCGCAATCGAAGCATTTTTAGTCAGCAAACTAGGCGTTAATGTTGACTTGTTTGGCTTTGTTACCTGACGTGAATACAGAGATAATATTATTGTTACAAATGAAACAGTAAAAATAATACCAGAAATTCTATGGTGCCATAATCTCACAATCCAACGCCTAATATGAATTCTATCAATTCCACAATGAATATGTACTCTCTCCTTTTTTTAATAAATATCGCACACTAATTAAGAATATTCTTTTTGCCAATAATAACCCTCATTAATGAGGATAAAGATGGATGTTTTGAGAAAATATAAAGAGTGAATATGAAAAGACGTAGTGTATTTATTAGCTAGATAAGGATAATAATGGAAAAATATGTACAAAAGATCTAAAACGTCATTTATTTAGACAATTGTTGATAAAGCCAAAATGACATTTATAAAAAAAAAGGAGGTAGTATAAAATTACGGACGACACTAATATACTTGTTTCATACTTCTAAAAGAGAACAATGTAAGATTGTCCACACTTCCCCAAAATCTAAGTTGAAGTATTGTTCTCCCCCTCTTCAAATCAGATAACAAACCAAACACGAAAACCTTTGACAATCAACAAAGTTATGTTAACCCTATATTTTAATTTGTAAAAATTAAAAGCTCGTGTCTTTCATCACCAAAGTCGAAAGGTGGGAATTGAAATTGAATTACAAACTTAGCTCAAGTTATAATTTAATCTGCAATTCAGCCTATACTTAATAACAAAAACATAAATGGTTTCTCCTTGGCCGGCAGAAAAAACTTACACCGTGGTCCAAATTCCAAAACAAAAGACTGATGGATATAAAACATATCCACATTAAACATACATTTTAAAAAAACACATGCTAAGTTTCAAGTTTCGACACTATTATAATACTTTACACAAACACTAAATAAATGACTAGAAATAGAAAAACAACAACCCATCCTCCCCCAGCTACTCAATTTGGCCTGTGCTTAAATTACTTTAAACTAAACAATCAAGAGCAAAAATGTAAAATTGGGTTAATGACAAAATACAATGGCAGCCCAAAATCCTTCAATTCATATTTTACCATATAATGATAATAGTTAGATACAGCGACTATATCCGCCTCCAGCCCTAAACCCGGCAAACCTGTCTGTAAATCCTTCTCTCAAAAAACATTAAAACGATCATTATCGTTATTCTCTGTCCAGCGCTTGCCCGTGCAAAAAACGACCACCTTCATCTGTCGGCAAATATGCTAAACATCAGTTTTTGTATGAACATTAAAAAATTGAAATTCAAAGCAGAACTAAATTGGGCTATGTTTGGTAAAACAAATTGATAGTTGAAAAAGTAGCTTATATGATAAAAGTGTTTGGTAAAATTAGCTGAGCTGAAATAACAAATTCAACGAGCTTATTTGAAAAGCTACCCAGAGAAGCTTATGAGATAAGCTCGAGCTTTTCAAAATAGTTTGTCCTATCAAACGAAGCTTATTTGAATACAGAAAGCTTATATGCTAACCAAATAAGCTATAAGCTAGCTTATTTGGTTATCAAACATAGCCTTAGTAAGTCCCAAAACTGATTTGTTCTTGGTATTACAAATGCTGAACCATACTCGAGATTCAGAACACAACAAAAGGTTTTCCACCATCAGCAAAAGAATTGATAATATTTAACCGTTTAAAAAAATTTGATTAAAAAATAATAACAATAATGATAAATGACAGATAAAAAGAATGATTGAAGGTAGACGCAAAAAACGTACCACTTTCACCATCAGATAAATCTGCAAGCCTTGCAATGGCTTCACTGAGTGCTAATTCCTGCTCCTGTTAATGAAAACGAAAAGGAAAATGGATAATTAGCTTGGCCACAGAAAAATCCAGTTATGTTTTAAAATAACAAACACACCCCTGTTACTTGTTTCATTTACAAATTACACTCTCTTCATATCAACGAGTGTCGTGTACTTNAAAAAAAAAAAAAAAGCACTTTTGTGACAGTAATAAGATATCAAGCAGTATACAATACCTTAACCACTTCTTTTGCTCTCTCTATCTCCACTGGATCCGGATGACTAGCGCTAAAAACCCTCTCAACCTATATACCAAAAGATTCACATCTCAATCGAACAATCTTAACAGAGGTTTAAAATATAGACTACCATTGTGTATTACCTCCTTAATTAAAGTATCGGTATGAAGCAACCGGATATCATCAAGTCCCTTCTTTCCTATGCCATTTTGAGATTGGGGAAAGTCTTTCCTCGGTTGAACTTTGGTCAAACCCCTCCCTCTGCCTGGGCCAGGCCCATTTTTATCTCGAGGCCGGCCCATTCCATGCCCCGGCCCACCGAAACCTCCATGACGGGAAACCCCAGGGTCTTCACCTTCCCATTTAATATCATCTGGAGAAATCTGCGAAGAAAATGTAATGAGGTAATCCGCAAAGATTATTTTTTTTTTTCACCAATTTTTCTGGTCAGAAAAAAAAAAGTATCCTCTTTTGCCAGTTATACACGTTAATTTAATCAAATCTCGAAATAGAGTGTATGATCTTTCTACCCCGACAAGGGCCAAAACCAAGTTTATGCTATAGGTAGAATGCAATATTCACATTATATTTCTAAGATTACTCACATAATAAAATTATATCCATCATTAACATAAAATTAGACCCAAGCACTAGTATGTTCTACCAAATATTCATAATGATGAATTCACCAAATAATTAACAAATCCAAAAATTTAAAAAAAAAATAAAAATTCGAAGGACTTGTCATTGTCAAGGACAGCAAAAAGCATGTATACCTCAGATAGGTTGACCCATTNAAGCAACTTAATAACTAGATGAGCTAAAAGCGAATCCACGAATAGAAGGAACTGCAAAAAATTACCTCCACATGATTATAATCAGTAATCAGGGCTTCATAAAAGTTATTATCGTCCGGCCATCTGGTCCGTACTTTCCTTCCAATCAACGGATCAAATGGAGCTCCTTCTGCTGGCTCATTCATAGGGCCACCAGAAGACATTCGGTTACCAAATTGACCTCTTCCTGCGGGACCCACGGGATACTGCATTTTCATGGAGGATGATCCTCCCGGCAGCTGAGCATTAGCATAAAATAAATAAATAAATAAAGTTAGGATGTGTGACCAAGAATTTGAATAAGAGAAATATAAAATAACTCATGACGGTGCTGAGATTTGACATCGAAAATTGCATATTTCCTGACAAAATATATCAAGCGGGTATAATTAAGGATATTAGGGAGATTTTCATTGATCAAGTAAAAACTCTTAAGAGTATTTTTTAGAAATAACCCACAAAATTACTAAAGAATCTTTCAAACTCACATATTAAGTTGATAATGAAAACTCACAGATTTAGGCTTTTTGCCCTTCACGCCAATCGTGGGCCCACGCTTTGCGGCTGAGGATAAGGACTGGTTTGTTGGAGCCATCGGCTGTGGGTGGAAAGGAGCTGGTCCACCAAAGGATTGAGAAGGCAATGATGGAACTAACTTTTGCTTTTTACGAGAAGCTGAGACTGAAGGACTCGGTGCCGGATCATGAGCAGCCGCTCCATGACTAGATCGATGACTACCCGTTTGACGCTCAACCGACTTTCTCCACTCCCTAGTATTATTATTCCCAGAAAAAAAAAAAATGTGGCAAATCAGAAAGAGGATCATTTGCTAAATTCAGAGGTAGACATGACCTTCTCATGATTGCACACATAAATTAAAAGAACCTTATTCTCCTGATTGTCTCATCTGAATTAACCCTGCTTAGAATATCTCGGTGCTCCTCATTGGATAATCTCAACTCTTTTCGGAGCTCTGTTATTACACTTTCCTTTTCCTGAAAAACAAATTCAAAATAAAAAGGGGCTATCATTTAGCAGACTTATGAAACCTTGTTATAGCAAATATTGCCATATCAGATTCATATATTAATATTACTATACATGGAAACATTACCCAGGTAATAGCATCTCCTTGAGCTTGGAAAGCTCTAAGAACAGAACAGTAAGCTTCTTGCTCAAGCTGGTGGATTTTTGCTTCCATATCATTGTCATCATACGTATTCCTCGGGAAAGGGTGAGAAGCCATGGCCACCAGCCTCCCATTACCAGAAATCCGGCCACCCCTCGGCATTCTATTTTGCTGGGGCGGGGCTACATCTTCTTCCGTTTCTGCAATAATATAATTACAATATTTTACAATCATGATTTGACATGCGACGCTTTAAAAAATAATTATAATTATTATACGACTCAACAAAGTTCTATTCACTAATTCACTGACGAGGGATCATTGGCTGAGAAAGGACAGTGTTGCAGATCAATAATACACTTTATTAAAAGTACAATCGTTAATAAAGTGTATCCTACTTATGCTTTCCATAAAGAAAACCGTACCTCACAAACAAGCGGGAGCTATAAAGAAAAGAAATTTGCAACTATACTGACAGTGAAAGCTTCAAGAAACATTCGTATTCTTCAAGCTTTCATGGTCAATTGCCAGCACAGTTACCACAGAACTGATATAATACCGAATTTTGCACAGCATAACCAGCCTATCTCAAGAAACCAGAGCTCCAATTTGGATCCAGAGTCCACAATACACTTTTGAAAAACTAAAGAAATGTTTTTTTCACTCACCAGTTATATTTGTCTCCCGCAAAACACAATAAATCTTAATCTTATCTTAATAAATAAAAGGAAGAGCAAGTTGACGACCTTTGAGGAAAAAGTTCAAAAATCAATCCTACAAACCTATTATCTCGGTAAGATAATCCTAGTCATTACAATTTCGTTAGAACATACAATGCCTGTAATACTCAACCCCTTGTCCAATTCCACTCGCAAACCATAGCCCAAAAACTACACTAACCACTAAACAGTGAAAAACCCTTATTGCTTAAGCCAAAATTGAATCTCTTTAGGTCTCTACAAAGCAATAACTCACCACTACTACTGTCGAACGTCTCGTAGCCCATGGCCAGCTTTTTCCAGAACAAAGATTCACAAGTTATCGCAGCTCAAAACGAGGAAACCCTAAAATTTTCCAGTAATCGAACAAGTGGGCCAGAAAATGCAGCAAAGATTCAACCTTTGCCGAGCAAACTAATGGTTTAAGCGAATCGATGTTTGTGAAATTGCTGGCCTTCTGAGTATGTTCTGGTTTTGGGGCAGCGGACGTGAGATGCCTTCCTCGAATCGGGTTAAAGGACAAGGTTGAG